CGTGAGTAGAAGTAATAACGCAGAATGAAGTTAATGTAATCAACTTCGACTTAATTGCGCACTCGTTGGGTTTTGAATGCAAAACCGTTAATTTCCTCAAATTTGCAAAAATATTCCTAATTTTCGACGGCGAAAATTGTACCTACACACAATACAACCTCTTTGCTCACGGTACTACTGACTGCATCAATTAGTGAATGCTAGTATCCCTTCTATCAGCCAAACGAAGTGACAGCAACACTCCTACCTCGCCCTCTCGTTGCCGTTTTGTCGCAGCTGTGACGTCACCTGCACGCGCTCGCGTCCGCGCCGCGGTGAGCTTTTCTCTTCCCCGGAGCAGCAGCAGTTCGTGAACGAAGCAGTGAGCCTCACTGATTGTGTGCTGGTGGCCTAGTGGTTAAGGTGGTGGGCTTGGGATTTCGGGTCAGTGGTTCGGATCCGCGCGTGTTTTCCTTTTGCATTTTTGTGACTGACTATTTGGCAGTAGTGAAACATGATTCCTTCATCATTGGTCAGCCCTACTTGCTTTTGGATGAGTTTGAGGTCGATAACTTCGAAATTTTTCCTAACTTGCATGCCACTACATAAGGTTAAGGCCAGTATACGGAGCGCGCGCTTCAGCCGTTTTTGAGTGAACGAATGTGAGATCTGTGTTCAAGTAGTCCAATAACTCCTGGGGCCGATTTCTAGAAAAATTCGAGATTTTGAATTAACTTCAAAAAAGTGGGCGAGTCACTCATTGATGCTACATATCCATAGCCGGTAGTTCCAGGGTTGACCTATTTTGGACGACGGCGACCCTTTAAATTTGAAAATAATAAAATGTGGGTGTTGAAATCATGCGAACAGAAAACCAGACACTGCTTTACACTCTTCAGAAACCAAAAAAACTTATATCGTCTCAAGGCTATATAGGCTTCGATGATAGGCTGATGGATGAATGGATAGATACCCAGCTTATTTCGAAATTTGGTCGAAATCTCAAATTTGGCTACAAACTTGTCCCTAGGGGTATTTTAATCTCCGGAACACGAATATCACACTTGTTTGCTGCAAAAACGTCTGCCAAGAGTTCTGTGGGCTCCATGTGCAGTCTTTAGTAAGTACCGCCGAAACTGATTAGAAACTCCTCGCAAAGTCTTTGCACGGGTAACTACAGGCAAGCATTGATCGAGTAAGGTAGTTGGGAGCCTTTTTCAATCATTTTGCAGCGAAGGCAAAAAAGAGAACCCGCCAGGGAATCGATCCTACGACGTCTCGCACGTGAACCCGGACTACTACCGCTGCACTACTTTCCTTCATAACTCCATTCGGAAAATCGTTTGGCAGATTTGGAAAGCAGATTCGAGATCAGCGTCCAAAAACGCATCCACCGGTGTAGGTCTCTTTACATATGGCCACTTCGACCAACCATCCGTTCCTGGTCAGTCACGAGTGAACGTAAGTGCACGCACTTCAAAGGTATTGACTTGGTAAAGACGATGCTCTTTCTCGGAAGTACTCCAGTTTATTCTAACGCTGATCAGTACTTATAAAATCAATGGCACCGTGGATTGAGCATCTGTAGAAACATTGTTCTAGAAAGTCCTTCAACACTTTGAACAAAGTTTTTTTTAAAGGAAAAAATCAAAACCATTTCCAAATGCTGTGGCATTTGTTTACTGTGGATTTCGGCTTACTCAGTGGAAAGTTTTAATGCTTCAAACTTCTCTCTGAATCAAGCCATCCTTTCTCTACTATATTTTTGGGGCTCCTATAATGTGGTGCTGTATTCAGCAGGGAGGTCATTCAACAGGTCATGGTGTCCTGTTGGTACTGTTGCTTCGCAACTGGAGATATTTCGTTTAAAGTGAGGCACGGCTTATGATTGGCAGTAGATGATAAAGGTCGAGCGTTTGCTCAACTTCCTAAAGGCACACCCGAATGATACCAGTCATCGGTTAACAACAACGCTTAGGTGCATTCATTCAACAGTGATCGAGCATCTGCATTGTATTGTCTGTGTTTTGGACAAGCCAGCAATGGTTTCTCTCAGAAGTGAGGAGGCCGGTAACGGCCCGATCCTTGTTTCCAGTTTGACGATGGTTTTCTTGTCTAGGATTTCGGTAAGGTGCGACTTAAACAGCATATTTTTTGCAAATAAGTTGAGCAGAGTGTGGCTTCTCGGCTGAGCCTTGCGTTGGTTGTTGGAAGCAATACGTACAATAGCCGCGGGCTGGATGGATGCATGATTGGCGCCAGATAGGGTGTATGTGGAAGCCGTAGTGATTATCGTGTAGTGATTCTCACTATAACTTGGGCAATTTATTGAAGGTTTTTTGAAGTTGTGAAGTTAGAATTTAAGCCCGTTTAAACCTATCATCTTTGGTCGACTATGTAACGGTGGCAATGGTGAGAGGAAGAAATCCTAGGATTAGGGACAGATGGGTCTTGGGATTTGCGAAGCGAACGCAGTAGTCGTAGTTTTGGACTTTTTGCCAGAACACTTTTGGTTATGGGCGCGATCAATTCCTTCGGCGATATGCGATCTTGGTCAAGGTTGGGAGAGCCAGCAATTATGACTGGGACTTTGTTTAGAGTGCATTCTAGACAAGCTGGCTGAGACCGAGGTTCATATCTGGTTTTTCTTCGGTGCCTTCTAGCCTATACATTAGGTCATAACTTTTCTCGTACAGCGAATTCGGTCGCAACGCTGAAAATGTTTGATTATTTTTGCGTAATATGTAACCTTTGCGGTAATTCTTTCCAGACGCGAGGATAACAGTGTACAATTCATGAATCATCACACATGGACGTTTTATTCCGATTCACTGGCTGTTGGACTGACGGGGGTATTTTGTCCATCCCATCCACTTAATGATAGAGACAGACTGATCTTGATAGAGTGACACGTGGTCACTAATTTCCATCACCAGAAGTTTCGCTCTCCTTCGTTACTTCCAGTACATGTTCTTTCGGGGGAGTGTAGGGGTAGGGGGAACCAGCATTATTCTTCAGCTGTAGTCAGAATCAGGGTCAACCCTATGTTGCTACAAGTAGCAACGGGGGGTCGTATTTTGATGAGTTTGTAGAGGGGGGTCGTACTTGCTTCGGTTGTAAGAAGTTGCATGTGATGAGTGGGGAGCGGCGCGGGAGAAAATTTGCCGTTTCAGCGCGCGTATACCCCCCCCCCCGCTCGACGGTAATTTTTTGGGGTAAAAATTGTTTGAAAGGGGTCGTATGAAACATTTCGAGGAAACAGGGGAAACATTTCATGAAGGAGGGGGGTCGTAAATGTTTGCCTTCATTGTAGATCGGCGTTCATCTGTGATGTCTCAGCAGTTACAGGTTTTGGTGTTTATCAACGCAATCTTGGTGAAAAGCAGGTGGCGATTAGATTTTCAACTTGAAATTAAAGGTTTCACCAGTTTTAAATTGGTTGAGAAGCAATTCTGGCTAAGGAGTAAATAAGGGCAACATTGCTGAGGAAGTGCTGCGTGAAGTGGTCAACCTTTTCACTTTCACCTAATTTGTGCTTTTTCGAGGCGTTTTTTTTTCCTAATCAATAT